TTAGCTTTACGGGAACTACTTTTGTTATGTAAGCGTCTTAGAAATCGTTTTGGTATCCTACTGGGCTCTCGACTACGACTACAACGTACATGTCGATAATTATAATAAACAAACCTTGAATAACGAGATCTTGTCATATGAGTACTTGGTAATGTTTATTGTAACTTCTGCATCATTGTATACACCATAAGCAGTCATACAAATAGTTTTATCTAAGATATCACAATCACTAAACGATGGAGTGACAATATTTTGAGTGTCATTATCGAAGAATTGGACTGTATTGAACCCTAATAAAGTTAATATCAATACTATTATAAGGGTAAAGCAAAAAATATTTCCTTGAATGAAAAATAATAACAGAAGCAATGTAGTTAGCATTAAGGAAGAATTGATAGTCTTTGTCAAGCTCTCCTCACTTTGATACTAGTCACATGGCAGGCTATAAAGACAGAGTCTTTTATCCTCTCTGCTAAATAAAATAGTTGCAATCGTCGGTTTTTCCTCAGTGAATTCTGTTCGCATTCCTTAGAGAAGTCCTTTGTATTTTCAGAGCCTGTAGAATCAGTTAGTATAGAGTTCGCTTATGATAAGATTGGTGGCTTGTTTGATAGATAGTTCACAATTAATTTCACGATACTGAGTTCCACGATAAATTTCAAGATAAATTCGCGGTATCTCTCAAAATTCCCTTTCGCAGCTTTCGAAAAACGCTCGATTTCTTTTAGTGTGGCTGTACCGCGAATGGTGTGTGGATTTGTAAGAGATTTGAGAGTGTTTGAAGTTGAATATATGTCTCCCATCTCGTATAAAGACGACACCTCGACGACACCATGTAAAGACATAGCACANACTCTTGTCTTATGCTACATTTATTTCTCAAAAACTAGAAAAATTCATACAACGTAGTAGATAAAGTACAAAAGTAGATAACAAGACAGTGGGCCTTTTCCGGACTGAGTGGCCGCCCACCCCACACAGGAATCCCACACTCGCACACAGGGAACCCGTAGCGACAACTTTACCAAACACCGAAGCAACTGGCGAAGAAAACCCGCTAACGAAAGGTATTGATGCCTTAACACTCTACTTTGAAGACAAGAAGAACATTGTTTTCGAAGAGTATCAGTTCAGGAAAACAAAACAAGAAGATGAAGAGTCGATTATGGCTTATTATACGCGCTTAAAAAACCTCGCGAAGACATGTGAATTCGGCGACACCGACCGAGAGATCAAAGCTCAAATCATTCAACACTGTACATCAACAAAACTCCGTCGAAGAGGACTTAATGACCCCACTATTACTCTGACAAATCTTCTGGAATATGGTAGGTCATTAGAACTAACTGACACTAGGTTAATCGACCTAGAAGAACAAGATAAAAGCACGAAACATGATGTAAATAAATTGAGTACAAAACCAGACACAAGGCGCCATAACGTCTCGAAAACACACCAACAACACAGGCAGCCCAACAAAAGCTCGAACAGCTCTCGAGGACACAGGAAACCCAACCAACAAAAAGGAAAAAAATAGCAAATCAACATCAACATGCCTGAATTGTGGAGGAGAGTACCCTCATAACGGAGGAATGTCCAAATGCCCAACACAAGGAAAGGAATGCTATAACTGTGTCAAACTCAACCATCTTTCAAAATACTGTTTAAGTCAACCGAAACAACGAAACAAAATCGAAACCCGACCAGCAAATCAAATGCGCGCAAGACGATCTGGTCTACACAAATTGAGTGACAGCGAAGATACTGACGAAGATGTATTCACACTCAGCCTTAACAGCGTAAGCAATGATCACACGAAGCACCCAACATG